GTTCAACTGCTGCTGAGGCCTCTCGGCCTGTATTTGGACTTGAAAGTCTGGATCTGGACTGACCYTTTGACTTCGACCAAAACTGGGACTGTGCCTATTGACTTTACTTTCGGAYAGGCACAACTCTCAACGAACAGACACATTTACTGCTTGAACAGACACTTTCCTTTGCACGAACAGGTACACTGCCTGCACGTACAGACACACTCTTATCCGAACAGACATGCCATACACAGCTCCTGGTGAACAGGTAAGTCCTTTGACAATGCCCTTTGCCTTAGATTTAGATGTGCCTGTTGGTAGAGAACTTAACCTTTGACCTGCTTTCACGTTTCTGAGCCCTGGCGAGATACCTTTTCACAATGCTTTACTTTTTCAAGGCCCGTGCTGCTTTATTTTTACAAGGCCTGAGGCCTATATCGGGTAAAGGCCCTTTCACTCTCGCTTGCCTAGTTTCGAAGTCCTCTGAGAATCATTTACCTATCAAGGATATGAATCCCTCTCTTTGCGCTTTCGTATGCAGACACAATATGAGGTGCAAAATCTAACAATGCTTCTCTTGTAAACCAGCGATCTTCACTAGGATCCTGGTATGCAAACCTCACTTTATACTGTCGCTGTGGTCTGCCTCTACGTCCAGTGTGGTAAGTACTTTCCGCAACAATTTTATCGACGTCATACTTCCCATCCATACTTGGAGGTATCGCTGATCGGCGACTTGGGAAGAACTCATTCGTTACACAAGGTAAGAGCTTGGATGCATGGAACACTGGATACGTACGTAGATGAGGAGGAATCTCAATGACATACGAAGGACCATCCACATCTCCAATTATGTCTAGAACCTGCCAAGGTCCTCTGTAGGTGGGTAGAAGCTTCTGAGAGATGTTCTCTTCAGGAGCAAACTCTTTAGACTTCACCCAAACCAAATCTCCTACAACAAATTGAAACGGGCATCTGTGTTTATTTGCCTGTTCAATCATTTGATGCTGTGCTTTAAGTATATTTTCTTTTACTTTCTCCATGTCTTTCTGATATTGGACTGCAAATTCAGTAGTCCCTACAGGAAGCTTGTGTACTTGATCCGGGTTCAATCGATCAATGGGTCGGCGTGGACGCCATCCCAGATGTAACTCCATAGGAGTCTTACACGTAGATAGGTGCACAAAGTTATTATAGGCACTAGCAACCTTAGGCAGATGTTCATCCCAGTCAATCTGATCGGGACGAATGTACATGCGCAGAGTTTGCTGCAATATCTTGTTCATTTGCTCAGTCTGGCCATTAGTTTCAGGATGTCTGCTTGATGACATAGTCAACTTAGGGCCATATACATTCATCAGTTGCTGCCATTGTTCACTTGTGAACCTGGTATCTCTGTCACTCACAATAGTTAAGGGATGTCCAAAGTCTTTCTCCCAATGATTAAAGAATTCGCGAATCACTAAATCAGTCTTCGCTTCCAAAGGCAAAGCTATAAAAACAACATACTTAGTGAATCTATCCACTATGACCATCACTGTGTCTTCCCATTTCTGCTTTTTACCTTAGTGTCCATGAAATCTATAGAGACAGAGTCTCCAGGGCCGGTAGGGATAGGCAAGGGCTTAAGTAGCCCGAGGGGCGATTGCGTGGTGTTTTTGTTTCGTAGGCACACTTGGCAACCCTGCACATACGCGATACAGTCCGCTTTCATTCGAGGCCAGGTGTAGGAACGCAATAAAGTCCCATAGGTCTTTTTCCACCCGAAATGGCCTTCTGTATCATGGCATTCCCCCAAGATCATACTCTTGATTTCTTCATTATTGGGTATACACAGCCTATCATGTACATCAGTTCGTTCAAACAATAGACCCTGAGTTACTTTATGATCGGGAAACTCTGCTGGCTTTTCTTGCACTAGCTTAATCATGGCTCCATAAACAGGATCAGAGGGATACGCATTTCTATTTTTTTCTTGTAGGTCTGTACCTACATCTAGATAAGTCACAATAGCACCGAAAAAGTCTGATCTACGACTTAGTGCATCAACAACAACGTTATACTTACCCTTGACTGGCTTCAACTCAAAGTCAAACATATCAATCTCTGCAGCCCACCTTATCAACTTAGGTGTCATTCGAGCTTGCGTTTTGAGCCAGCAAAGTGTTTCATGGTCAGAGTGTACTTTAAAATGCCTTTCTAGGAGGTAGTGTCGCCAATGATTGAGAGCCTCACGCAAAGCGTACAACTCTCGTTCATACGTTGAAGCGGCCACCTTCTCATTAGGTAAGCGGCAAGACATAAACTCTACAGGTCTGTACCCATGCCCATCATCTTGCTGGAGTACAACACCGATACCGTATTGACTAGCGTCGGTCGTGATCACAAAAGGTAATGAAGGGTCTGCTACTTTCATAATCGGATAATTGATCAAACACTTCTTCAGACGCTTGAAAGACATAGTGCAGTCTGAATCCCACTTCCAAATTACTTCGTTTTTAAGCAATCGGCGAAGGGGAGCAGCTATTGTCGTAAAGTGTCTTACGAACTTTCGATAGTAGTTGGCTAACCCAAGGAACGACCGCAACTCAGTCAAGGTGCGGGGGTTCGGCCAATCTCTGATTGCTGCTATCTTTGCATCTTCCGGTTTGACCCCATCTCCATCAATCACATGTCCCAGGTATAGAACCTGACGCTTAGCCCATTCACACTTCTTTGGGTTTATCTTGAGTTTTGCTTCCCTTAGCTTATTGAGCACAAGTCGAAGGTGCTCAACATGTTCTTTTTCATCTTTGCTGAAAATCAAAATATCGTCTAAATAAATCACAACAAATTTATCGAGCCATTCACGAAAGAGTTCGTTCATTGTTCTTTGAGAAAGTGGCAGGGGCATTTGTGAGACCAAAGGGCAGAACTACAAATTCGTAATGCCCATACCTCGTCCTGAAGGCAGTCTTATGTTGGTCTTCCGGCTCAACCTCAATCTGATGGTAGCCGGATTTTAGATCAATTTTTTAGAACACTTTGCTTCCCTGCACGCGATCCAGCAAATCGTCTATTCGCGGTAATGGTTCAACATTCTTTATGGTGATGTCATTTAATCTCCTATAATCTATACACGTGCGAACGCCGCCATCCTTTTTAGGCACAAAGAGCACAGGCGCACCATAGGGTGAGGAGCTAGGTCTTATCCAACCATTTTTCAACAACTCATCGAGTTGGGTTCGCAGTTCATCCAATTCCTGGGGCGACATACGATAGATAGGCCCCTTCGGGGACGCGCTCCCTGGAATGATATCAATGCGGTGGCGGATTGGTCTTTCCACCACACCGCTTGGGGCTTC